ATGGAAAATCGAAATAGCAACAATTTTCCCATACAAACTGTTCCTACCTGTCAAAAATTTTATGGGTGCGTTCCAAAAATTCTTTTTCTATGTGTTCAGATTCATAAATTCCCTAGAAATTATGTATATGGCAAAACAACTATTGCTGGGTCAGCTAGTTTAAAATAAATTTCAAATAAATTCAAATATTGTTCGATTTTTTTTTCCTCTTTTCGCAGCAATGGAACGATAGAATGATCACGAACTAGAAAAATAACAGGAGCATATCAAAAGTGAAGCATTATATGATCTATGTGTGAATGATTTGAGAAATATTTTGTATACACTTTATAAATTTTTCTAATAAACATGAACAAATCTCGTAAACAATTTGCTCTCATGAATAATTGTTGGTATAAATATTCATTCGGAAGCGATAGCGCAACGCCAATACGTCTCGGGATTAAATTGCAATTTCACACTTATTTCTTCCTCTGGGTAGGGCCCCATATCGATTGCTATTCCAAGCCGAGGTTCGAACCTCCATCTGAGGGGCCTTGGATCGTGTCGTGCTCCCCCCCTGTTAGTCGATTGTCCATCTTTCTTTGTAGGATGTTGCGGAGTGCAGTGGAGCGGTCGGCGTCTTCGTGTCGTCGTACACCAGCTACGTTGTTCTCCCGAGTCCGTGGGTCGTCTGCCCGCGGTCCTCTTCCGCCGAAGCTGTCAAATCCGTCGGGCTAATAGCAAACTACACGACTTTTACAGGGAAACAAAAAGGAGGGTTATGATTTCAGTACTCAGGCTATTTTTATACCAGACTTACTCGTATGTATCGTTCCAACGCCTGAAGTCCAGGCTCTATTTTTGAGTGATTGAAAGGATTCAAGTCATGCATCAACACAAACTGCTATGTAGCCTTTATCATCATCATTTCAGCCCGCTAGAGTCTACTGCTGAGCATAGTAAAGTAAAGTAACAGCCTATACATGTCCCATTGCTGGGCAAAGGCCTCCTCTATACAGAGGGTATCAGGGCATAGTCCACCACGCGGCCCCACTGCGGATTGGCGGACTTCACATATCTTCGAAATATATATATATATTTTTTTTGTAATTATTTCTAAAATATGCAGGTTTCCTCACGATGTTTTCCTTCACCGCGGAGCACGTGATAAGTCAGCACAAAGTTAAAAACTTCATTGGTGCCGGCACCGGGGATCGAACTCAGGTTGTTCGAGTATATTGAATTAAAGGCGAGCGCCCGGACATTGAGCTATCACGGCTCTTATACGGCACGGCTGAGCATAGGCCTCCTTCATAAACTGCCGCGAAGCAGCCACCTGCATACATCGACTGCCCCTACATTTGCACAGGTCGTCACTTCACCTAGTATGTGGTCGTCATACATTGCGATCGCCTGTACGAGGCTGTCACGCAAGAATCATTCTTCCCCATCAGTTATCAACTCGCACTTCAGCTTTACCACATATTTATTATATGTATATTACAGCAGCTGGTAGCTGATTTTTTTCGGAAGTCTAGCTATTCTACGTGGATTTGATTGCTTTATTTAAAGTTTTTATTCCATGAAAAGTGTTATCTCCGACAGCATATCCTTATGGAACTTTATAAAATACACACCTATCACTATACAGAAATAACCTAACAATACACAGAAATCTAAAGATAAAACTGCCGATATCGATTCAAGTGAGGACTGCTTGTTTCACAGACACCAATAGTACTACTTATACTAACTAAGTAAATAAAGTGAAACAATAAATTAGTAATAATAATACAAAGTTATAGCTAACGCTCCGTACCAAATAGATGTATTTGACGTATTCAGGACTATTCATTCACTACATTTTTAACTATTCAGGTTTAATTTGAAGTTGTTTTTATACGACCTTCAGTGGTCGCGTAAACATAAAAAACCGGCCAAGTGCGAGTCGGACTCGCGCACGAAGGGTTTCGTACCATTATCTAAAAAAACGCCAAAAAATATATAGCTTTTATCGCGGGCTTTGAGCGCGGCGACCGAGTCAATAAATTCCGTAACGAAAATAAAATCTAACACCCCACACTCCGCATACCATGTAGCTCGGCCGAGCGTTCGCTTAACGTGGTATAACGTGGTATGTATATGGTACGACTGTACGAAGCTCGCACGGATGGATATTATAATATTATATTATCACATATGATGATATGATATTTAGAGGATATCAAGTCTCAAACATATGATTCTTATTTCAATTACCATAAACCTATAGTTTCAATGATAATAATTCCTGAATAACCTATATGTATTGTAAGATAATAAAAATATTTTAAACGATATTAACTTCTTATTTATTCAATAAAAGAAAAAAATTGTCACCACGGTCAAAAATTGTAACTTGAATTAATATCAAAGAAAAAAAAATACTGCATAAATAAAAAATAAATAAATAATTATATTTGCATAATTTGATAAAAAACGCTATGCAATAGCTTTACCGCGGCAGTCCCCGAAAGCCACAGGTTTTTTTATTCTGTTTTATACGTATTTGTTGTTACAGCGGCAACAGAAATACATCATTTGTGAAAATTTCATTTTATCACGGTTCATGAGATACAGCCTGGTGGCAGACGGACAGACAGACAGACAGCGGAGTCATAGTAATAGGGTCCCATTTTATGCTTTGGTTACGGAACCCTAAAAATGATTACGCGAGGCATTACTAGATTCTTTACGCCCATTAGCAAGTCTTGCTAAATAAACGAGACCTTTTATTCGAAAATCTTAGTATTCGAATTTGAAAGACAAACTTCTTTCATGGATTTTTTAAATAGCGCTTCTTTAATTTTAATCAGATTTAAAAGCAAAAAAAGTTTCGAATTACCCGTTTTAATTTCTCCCTGGAGGAAAACCCTGTCCAATAGCCCTTAAAACAATGTTGCGGCGTCGTCTTAGTGCCAGTCTCATGAAAATACGCCTTAGGCATACTAATTAATTACTTGGCTTTAATAAGAGAATTCGTACTATATTATTCGATCTTAACATTATTAATTTATGTTATGGACTTGCACAAATGTCTAAGACTTTTTTATAAATTCGATTCTGATTCTTACGGCATGTTCTTCAAACATATTGATGTTCGGTAAATGAATTTCAAAATGATGACTATATTTGAAGATGAAGTTAGGTTAAATTGTAATTTAATCTTATCCAATTGTCAAGTCGATTTGTGTATGTATACATAGAAATTAATACTTAGTTGACATTAAAAAAATAAGTGGTACAATTTAACATTAATAATAATGTAATATTAATATTACATAAGAGTAATGTGAATAAATAGTCGATTTTTATACAACATTTTTCTTTTATCATACTAATGGAAGTTCGCTACGGTTTGTTATAAAGTGGATGGAAATATTAAAGTCGAGCGGAAAGTTTATACGGTATGAGACTACTGCACGTATATAGGTACTTAAACATTTAAGTAACAATAAGTAGTAACTAGTAAGTGCAAAAGTACTCTTAGGTGTGTGAAACTTCTAGATTTATTTTAATTCTCAACATTATTGTAATATACATATAAAAGTGTTTAGACTTTTCCTATGAACTACAGCGGAAATTGCAACGAATGCTCCACAACCATAATGAGCTCAATGTTTCAAGACTAAACAAAGATTAGCAGATAATTATATAAGATCGTAATTCGGACTGTCCGGTGAACACGAACAAAGGTTTAACATTTCACTATGAAATCAGAAGTGGCCGACACTGTGTAATGGTGGAAGATTCTACATCATAGCACTACAAAATAATGTCATCGAGGCCAGTATAATTAATATCTGGTGAAGAAAAAGGGCAAACGGTATGTGAATAATTATTTAAAATGTAAGTATATGTGGACCCCATATTACATTTGCTGCAGAAAATGCTCTGGAGCAGTACCGTAGCTTCACAAAAGTTCCCATAAAAGGCCAGCGAGGAGTGGAAGTATTTTACTGAATTTAGTTTCTTCTATTTAGTGAGTTAATCGAAGCCGACTTTTCTAGAGCCGGGAATATAATACAAACTACATATTATGTACAATAGTGTAAAGAGAATTGTCAGAAGAAAACGTATTGTTACGTGTAGTGTGACATACAACAGCTTATGTGTTATACTATAACCGTGTTCAACCGTGTGGTTGTTGTCGAAATTAAATAGCTAGGTTTCCACATTAGTAGGTACCAGCTGGTGCATTCCAAATTTTTCAATCTATTACGCCTTTGCCATAAAGGAACAAACACACGTTTGCGAACATTTATAGTACTAGTCCGTTAATCACATCGATGTTATGTATTATTTCAACTGTGGTTGACGGTGATAGGGCCACGCAGCAGCCTCGGCTATTGTCAACGCATTTAGAAACCTCGGTTGTAGCAGATGTCCATGGGCGGCGGTATTCACTTAACATCAGGTGAACCGTCTGCTCGCTTGGCAACTTTTCACACGAAAAAAGAAAGTGGTAACGCAACAGTTTTATTAAAAGGTAGCAATGGATATGTAATCCTACGGGTGGTGCAAATGTCAATGGGCGGCGGATATCATTTAACATCAGGTGAACCACCACTCGCCAATCACCTTTTCATATAAATGTATGTTTTCTATAGTAGCGTAAGTACGCTACTATAAAAAACATACGTAGATAATAGATTATATTATAGATAATATAGAATAATAGAACATACGACGTTAAGTACTTACTTAACATTATATCTTCTATTATTCCAATATTAAGAAAGTCAAATGTCGACCGATATTAAATTTATATCTTGCATCTTAACATAGTTCTAGTTCTAGCTTTTTAGGTGTTACACACTTCTAAGGGCTTGTATAATTAATTTCATGAATTCAACTTCATAAGGAGGACAGAGGGCGGTGGCTAAACATATAATAAAATAAAACGAGAGGAATTTTTTTCAGTATATTTAAATGACGAACATAAAATATGTATGGTTGTTGTTTAGCAGCTCTTGTTATTCTGTAAGAAAATGCAAAAATATTATAGACATTCCTTTTTCTATTTCTTAAACTAGGAAATGTTTTTTATGTATACATTTGCTTCAGCCACACATGATTGTGTCCACACACTTTGTGGAATCAGTTGTAATCAGCAGTATTTCTATGCTACTTGGAACCTTCAAGAACCAAATTCCAACTTAAAAAAACAAAGACAGCAACGCTTTTTTAATTCTTCAGGCGTTCGGATGTCTACACATAGTGCTGATCGCTACCTATCTGGTTAAAGCTTACTCGTTAGCCATCCGGAGATATAGTACTAATATATGTGCTAAAATTGAGCTTCATAACTTTATTCGATTAATATACATTTATTCTCCTAGTATTTTTGTTCGTTCATTGTATATACCGACGTGATTGCAGAATAGATCTAAGATTGAAATTTTTATATATACGCAGGGACAAATCGCATGACTTATTGAATTTACCGGATATATTCGTACAAAAAGCAGTAGCTAGATTTGTGCCACATGAACAAAGAATGGTTTATCACATTTGTGTCTTAGTGTCATTATTTTTCTTGCTTGTATTATGATTATGGTTCAAAAACAATTACGTAATCAACCTTTTTACGATTTTTTTTACACGTGACGATTTTTTAACATTTAACCCTTTAAGCTGTAAAAATTATTGAAACGTATTCTCTAAAATGAACTAAGAAAACTTACCGTCAGATTCGGAATCCATCTCCATTGACCTACCATGAATCTTTGGATTTGCTGCACATACATAATAAAAAGAAGTCAGGGGAAAAAATCAAAAAGAGAGCATGTTTGACGTTTTCGTGGTGATAGTCCACAATGTTGTTCTGTCACGATATTATAATACACACAAAAATTATTGCTAAGCATTGTTTCTATGTCTTAAAATGTTCGTTAGAAAAATCGTTCTAAAGACTTCTATTAGTAGTTCAGTAAAATGTTATACAATTGAACACCACGTATTTACAAATGCTTAACTCACCTTCTGGCTCGTATTCATTAGCACGTAGACCTTTTGTACTTCTAACCTCTTTTCTATTAGACTCTGTAAAGTATAGATAGGGTTTGCATTAGTCTCTCTTTGGTAATAATATGCTGTATACTTATATTATATCACCTTTCTAAATCTAAATAAACATTGTTAAAAGAATACAACATAAAAGAAAATTGAAGTTACGCCTAATTGGAATTAATTTAAATAATGTTTTTAAAACTTGCCATTACTTGATTCCTCTTCGTTACTTGGCGGAATTATGGGTTCCACTTTTTTATTTGAATGAGAATTAGAACGTGATTTATCTTTTTCATCGCTGTCACTAATTGAATCTGCCCTTATCGATGGCTTAGACACCACATCCTTTTTGTGGATGTCACCTGCTGCAATATGCAAATACTTGTAAATAACTAAAAATTTGTATTTTACTTAAATATATTTTTATTTTAATGTATTAAGGAATAAATGTAGAATTTAGAATAATATTTTGTGATTGTGCTATTAATGCAGCGATGATAAGGTATAATTTGCTCAGCCAATGACTTCTAGCAATGTTTCGTAAAAGATATGCGCTTAAGGTCGCCTAATATTGTGAACAGTGAAAATTACTGTCGTCGAGTTTACTTCAGTTGTTTTAATGAGACCAGTGGAGAAGTTACTTCGTGATGTGTGTCTCTATTTACAAGTCGTTTACAACACAGTTCCTAAAATGTAGGTTCAAAACATGTGTGATTGTTAAAAAAATAATAATAACTGTTTTTTTTATAATGCTGTGACTGATGAACCGTGGCTTTCTTCAAATTTTTATTAGAATTATTTTCATACACCACATTGACTTCTATATCACTCGTGTAAATATTTGTAATTGTAATTGTATTTCTTAGTTTCTCTATATATGACAGATGAGTAGACACGGTAGGAATTTTATCTTTTTAAATTTATTTCACCATAGGTAAATTATAGTTTTCGTATGAAATAAAACAATAAATAAATATTACCAGCATAACGCCTTATTCGTAGAGAAGGATTTCCATTTGAATTGGGAGCAAAGTCGAATCCAATTTTAAGGTCTACTGAAAACACAACATATTATTATAAAATGTTTTTCTCAAGAATTCGATATGGCTCGTGGAGAGAAACAATACTTTGATTATTATGTTAGAAAAGAAATTGCTTATATTATTGCAGCAAAGAAATTTTATCGAATGGAACATTGGATGCAATAACACTTCACAGAAAGCACCCTTGTTTTACCTACAAGTTTTGTCGCGTTCTGTGTCATCAAATGCATTGATCCATGAAATAAGGACCTAAAAGAAAATAAATCATCAGTATCTTACCCAATAGTTTTGAAAAGTTAAAAAAATGTGAAAATAATATCACCATGAAAGGAGCCCACGCCATTAACAGTTTTGCCTTTAGGAAATACATGGCAAATGTAATGATTTTGTTTGAAATTTTGCCCACGTAATGTTGTGGTCGAGGTTTTGTTATGCTATGATTTTAATTACAGCAATAACGCTCGTTATCGAAAGTAGCGCTTTTTATAGGCAAGCAATCAATTTTATTTCATAATGTACTTTTTATACTTTTTCAAAAAAAAAAAATATAAACATGACGTATTTAAAGTTACAGAAATATGCTTAAAGTTAAAATAAGTAATACACAAATAATTGAGTAAAGTGAAAATTCACATTAATTGATGGTTCATAATAATACGTTAGTACATCTCTATTCGTTTCGAACTGGAATTGAAACTTGTTCTGTTAAACTAATTACTCTCACATTCTAATTGGCAACCCATTTACTAAATAAATCAACGAATTAAACTGTTGTCGTCGGAGACACTTGTTTACCATTGCATTTGTGAAGAGACGATCTTACTAAAGTTTTAATGAATGTATATCTATATGCTTTTGGTGTGTTTCGAGCAATTGCTGAATATTGCTGAAATAATCATTACCAACACTATTTTATTATGACGTCGTGCACATTATAATAGAAAATAAAAAGTTGGTTTAGTTCTGTGGGTCAATTGTTTGTAGTTTTTTATCCTAAAATGTTTTATACGTTTTGTTTATTTTGAGCCCCTTTAGGGATGACGGCTTTATGTCTGCGAAGGCAATCGATACGTTTGACGTACATTTGCTTAGCTCGTGAAGATTTTCAGCCATGAATCAAGTTGGCAACCAAATATAAAAGCTTACTTGGGATGATTTTCCAATATTTACAACTATTTGCCGATACTATCGATTTAAAATGTATACGTAGCACTATTCATTACGAAACTCGTGTACAGATTCTGTTTCAGCGTTTTAATTTATAACGTAATATGAACGTAGATAATGTGTGCCGCGGGAAAGACAAATTTGCCAACTTTTTCTGTTCAACAACCTCTTTTGTGTAGAATGGTAAGCGAGGTGAATTTACTGCGATGTAATATTAGGAAAGTTGGATTATTACTAGGAACGGCCTGGTTTCCATAAGTAAAAATTACTTACGTAAAGTATTGATTACTTTTTGTTTGCAAATATTAGGTTAAGTTGGTAATTATTATCTTAAATAAGGCACTTGGTTTTTAAAATCCTTCGTTTTCCTTTGATTTATTTCCATAGCAGAGAATATAAAGTGTTGATGTTCAAAATTGATGACTACGTGGCGCAGTTGCCAAGGTATTGGCTTCGGCGTCGGGGGTCGTGGGTTCGATTCCCGCACGAGACAACTATTTGTGTGACCCACAGAAGATAGTTGTTTCGCATCTGGGTGTTTGTCCGCGTGTAATTTGTTTGTAAAACGTCCCTACAACACAGGAAGTTATCCCAAAGTAAGGGCAACTTAAAAATTGTTTATTTGTTATTTTAAAATTTACCTCTTATTTATTATATATCTTATTTATTATAATCAATCGCACTTGTTGTGAATTGATGGTAAATGGCAACTTTGTATTATGAACTTATACATTAATTAAATAGAATTCAAAAAAAACAAAAAACATATTTGGCTGATAAAGATCGAGAAATGTGTCGACACTACACGAGTTTGAAGTCCAAACGGGCATATGTATGTATTCGCGAGGCTGCGATGCACTTTGTCTCAATAACTCAACACAGGTGAGGCGTTGGACGTAGTTGCAATAAAACCTTCAAGTTTGATGTGACCGCTAAACAATTATGTATTTTTAAACGCTTTTACTCAACACTCTTTTCAACTAATTGTATTATTTCGTCAAATCGTTTTTTAAAACGATTTTACACGAAGGGCATGATTTGAATTTGGCAAAAGCCTCACAAAAACTGGAGGCTTAAAATTTACATGAAAAGTACGAGGCTTAGCGGCGTAGTCTCAGGGACGTTTTACCTTAGGTTTTAACTGCTCACTCTTTAATCGAAATTGGCTTTGAGGCTTATTGGATAAAGGGATGTTATTTCGAGAACAACCTTTTAAAAAATAATGACCCAATTAAAAGTAAAGGAAATTCAGTACCTCTTTATACAGAAAATTGTACTACATTTGTACACCTATGCTTAATTACTCTTATTCATATTCACTGTATCAAGAGTTGATTGTTGTCCCTTTACGCCCTTTACTAATAAATTTATTCTTGTATCAGTCTTTTTATCTTAATATACTTATATAAATTACGTTTCACGTTGTTTATCCGCGATGGACTAAACTACTTAACAGATTTTAATCAAATTTGCACACCGCTTACATCGCAATTTATAGTCGCAAAATTATGTTATTGCAAATTATTTGTTTATTAGATGACAAAGAGTTATCTTTGAGTTACAGAAGATTCTAACAGATGGCAATGTAGGGTAAACTTATCGGCTGGATTGAGTAAGTATCCAATAGGTATCGGTAGTACGCTGTAGGTGTAATTATTACATTAAAATATTTATATGTATTACTATATAATTACTTAAGCAAACACACACACACATATCTATATACATCTACATACATAAACATATATAATCATACAAACCATAGTGGAACAACGATAACATCAACATTTTAGGTTATAAGGTCATTTAAAAATAAATCACGGACCAAGCGTCTGAATGATGAGGAGAATTCTAGAGCTACGGCTTTGTTTGACTGTTAGCCATTTGAGGCGAGACAGATAGGGAGTAAATACGGTCATATTTTCGAAGGTCAAAAATGTATCTTTTGCAGTTATTGGAGAGGCGCTCTAGCTTGTTAAGAAGGTCACCGTTCAAGTCCGGGTAGCAAAATTCTTCATACGATATGGGTTCGCAAAATTACAAAGACTTTACGGCTAACTTCAGTGATTTGTACTCCCCAATTGTACTGTCCATAAAAAGGTCAAGGTTTTTAATTGAGTTGGATAACGGAATGCGTTTGTTGTTGTAGTAGACAACAGGCAGATTAGCGATGTCAATTTTAGTCAACAATCTACTGCTTCCGACAAGCATTGCTTGGCATTTATTCGGGTTAACAGGTATTCCATAACGCATCGACCAGTTATGAATGACGCTCAAGTTTGTCATCCACATACAGATGGTACGCACAATCAAGGCATGATGTGATTGAGTTTATAAAAACTGAGAACATTATGGGAGAAAGAATACCGCCTTGCAGTACGCCAGAGTCAATATTAGCTAGTATTAATATAATATATGTAATATATTTCTTCTCTTTGTCCAATTTTACAAGAAAACTCATTAGCGTCGTAGTAGTAACGAGTCCCGGTACTTATGTAATTGTCATCTGTTTTAGTTTCCGATTTACTACGAGGACAGGCGTGACAAAATATGTTCTGAGGAATTCTCCATATCTAATAAATAACTAAAGATTAATATTTCAACGATACATAAAATTTGAAAGTCCGTAGTGAGGTAGAGAGGCGCACTATACCTTTATGGTATAACTGTTTGTTGTGGAAAGAAATGCATAATTTATTATAATAATTATGATTATTATTAAACCCATTTTACAGGGTAAATTTAAAAATAAAATATGATCATGTGAGATAATAGAGCAATCTGATTCATTTTTAGGGTTCCGTATCCAAAGGGTAGAACTGGTAGGACCCTATTACTAAGACTCCGCTATCTGTCTGTCTATACGTCTGTCACCAGGCTGTACCTCATGAACCGTGATTAACTATCACGGTTGAACAGTTGAAATTTTCACAGATGATGTATATCTGTTGTCACAAATAAAATATTTAAATAGGGTTTAAGTAGCCCTACTCCTCATATAACAGACATGATTTGATTGTCGTTTTTATAGATAGTGGTACGGAATCCTTCTTGAGTCCGACTCGCACTTGAACGGTTTTTATTTCAAAGTAATTCAATTTTATGGCCGGCGTCAGGGGCTTGCTACCGCCCGTTTGACTAATTATTGTTATGTAAATTATACTTCGAGCTTCTATCATCCATATATATTATCCGCCTCCGAAGCCAAGATTTAGAGACTGAATGGTTTATTTATTTTGTCCTAGTTCTTATATTTAATTAAATTTTTAATGCGTCTCTGCACTCAAATTGAAATATAAATGGTCACTTTTTTAAAATCAAAATGTCTAAAATGTACCCGTAAGACAAGTTTGAATCCCACAGTTTGTCTATTTTAATGCCAAAATAAGTTTTGAAGTTTCACAAAAAATCGTTCAAACAAACATAAAATAAATCGTAAAAATTTTAGAGCAAAGGTTTTCGTTACTTATATGAATTGCTGTTATGAAATGTTATCTGTAATTTGTTTCATAATTCATATAAAGTATGCACACTAGATGGCCCCAAGCATTGCTAAAAATGCAGTGGATAGACATTAAGGGTTTTGCGTCCAGAGGTTATTGGGCGCTTAGCTTATTGATTCATTATTATTATAAGCATCTCATTACTCGGAAGACGCAAGGTCGAATCCCGCAGTGTCGAAAGTTTTGTCCTATCTATAAAAGATCATATTTTATGTTTCGTCCTAGTTACCCCTAAATTTTAATATATGTTTTTTTTTGTTTTTTGCTTCGGCAATTTTAAGTAAGGTTATTTATATACTTTGCCAGATATACATTAAGTCTCGTATCAGACAGCATAGCGGCAAACAAAACATAATTGTTGCATGATCTTGATAACATGCCTTCCTGTGTTGTCAGAGAATTAGATTGCAACTGTCAGGGAAAAGAAAAACACGATAACACGCATAAATAGGTGCTGTAATTTTTTATTTTAAGTTTGAAACAGTTTAAAGAGTAAAGATGTTGGCGTATGACGTTTTGATAAATACAACGTTACCTGCTTGCTGTGTTGACAGTGTTGACAGGCAAGATAACATAGCAATATGCCATCGATGTTGTTGCACGTTATTGGCCAGGGAATGTTTTTACATTCTGATAAGGTTCGATTTAAAACTAAAGTTTATGCCTAGTCGGG